TGGAAGGCCAGATAAAGACTATCAACATTGGAGATGGCAACCTCATGAGTGCTCTCTTCCGAGGTAAAAATTCTTTTATACTGTCAATGAATATAAGTCAAACGAACTCTATGCATGACATATTATATTATATGACCTTTTTCATATTTCGAGAGTCAAAATGATAGGTCAAACGAACTCTATGCAAAACATATTATATTATATGACCTTTTTCACATTTCGAGAGTCAAAATGATAGATATTGTTTCAATGTCTTTCACTTGTGTTTAAAGTACTCTGCTTGATTGTTTACACTAGTAAACTTCATTAATTGGTAACTTATTATAAGAGATATTGTTATTGTACTTGTTTTTTTTTTGCACATTTTATACCTCTTTTTCTTCTTAATATGATAGTTTCAACGCGACATTAATGTTGGAAACACTTCGAGGGAAGAGGATGTTATTCGTGGGCGATTCTGTAAACAGAGGACAATATATTTCTATGGTTTGTCTTGTCCATAGAATCATTCCTGAGAATGCTAAATCCATGAACACTGTTGGTAGTTTCGACGTTTTCAACATTAAGGTAATCATCTCTATCAAATGAGTCTGAGCAATATAGCTATATATAGCTAGCTTGTACATTGTTGTTAACTTGAAGAATTCCCGCCCTGTATTTTTAGACCTTCCGTTTCTTTGTTCAATTCTTATTGGGCTCAACCAGCCCGCAAATACTTATAACATGGTGTGATATTATCTGCTTTGGGCCAAGCCTGCACGGTTTTTCCCTAAAGACCTCACACTATTAAGAGATCATACAACTTATATGTATCTTCCCAGTCTTTTCAGCTATCAATGTGGGACTTTGTTTGCACACCTGACAATTCTCTTATCAGAGGAACAAAAATGTTGATCATTTCTACATTATTGGTGTTGGTTGATTGAGTAATTCTTGTTCATGTTTATTTGTTATTGTAACACCATTCTTGTAGTTATTAGGTACAATGTTAATGCCTCGAACCTTCTCCTTTCTAGTTGAGCTTCGTCTTGCATCATTACTAATTCATCGTCTTTAGTTGAGCTTTCATCCACATTGATTTGGTTTACCTTATCCTTCAATTCTCATGTTTTTCTCTGTTCTCCTTATGTGTTCGCTTTACTTCTACAACAAATTGACATGAATGTCCTATTCGCGAGCATGTTAAGTCATAAGTAGGCTTCCAAACATACTCCACGGCTTGTTCAAACGTTCTCTCGCGTACTTTAACACTAACATACAACTAATGACTCTCCATGATATTGAACAAAACCACGAAATATCCTTCATTTTGGATTCACTATTGTTGCATTGGAGATGAACTAAAACATCATTGACTTGCATAATGGTTTGTATATTTCCTCTATTTGCCCCTTTATTGTTTACATAAGTCTTGTTTAATTTCCTATATCAATAGCTTTGTTCAAATACTTCTTTGGTCGTCCTCTAGCCAATCACGAGTGAAAACACGAGATAGACTATATATCACTCTATCCTGAAGTTGAATTCTCAGATGGTCACTCAACTAATAGTTACTGTCTGAGAAAGTCACTTTTTGTTTGTTGACAAAATTTGAATCACGAAGAAACGCATGTCTTTCTGAGATAATAACTATGAGTAACATTGATTTTATATTACAAATATATAAAGTTAGCTTATATATTTGAGTAATTTTTTTTTTCCAGGATTACAATGCAACAATTGAGTTTTATTGGGCACCATTTCTACTTGAATCAAATTCTGATAATCCAGGAAAACATAGGATTGAAGAAAGAGTTGTTCGAAAAGATTCAATAAACACACATGGAAAATATTGGAAAGGGGCTGATATAATTGTGTTCAATACTTACATTTGGTGGAGAACTGGTTTCAAATTTAATATTTTGTAATTTTCTTGACTCTTTCTTCTTGTTTGTTATAATATTCAATACTTTTTCTCAGTGACAGAGTCAGAATTTTTACTAAGATAATACTAAAACAGAAAAAAGTTAAAGAGATTCAACATCTATATATAACCTATAGCTCCGCCCTTGAATCCAATCACAAGGTCACGTGATTGGAAATGCTTCGCGTTTTGGGCTATGATATTATTTCAAATATTTAAATTATTTCAATTCAGAATTTACAACGTCTAAATTCTAGATTTTTGATTGCTTGTAGGCAAGGGTCTTTTGATGATAAAGTGAAAGATATAGTGGAGGTATCCACAGAGGAAGCATATAGGATGGCAATGAAGAGTTTGTTGAGATGGATTAAAAAGAATATGGATCCAAAGAAAACTAGAGTTTTCTTTTCTAGCATGTCACCTTCTCATGAAAGGTGAGTAAAAACAATAAAATTTTATCCCTCCCATTACTTTTTTTTTTAAAAAATACATTCTATCTCCTTATCTTGCTATATGGGTACATATTTTATTTTAACAATATCAAATTAACAAAAAGAAAAGAAATTGGCATTTGGACAATATTTGTTCAAAATATAAACAAGAATATATGAAGTTGGAAAAATAGAATTTCAAAATTGTTGTGTTTGCATATGAATTCTACTTTAAGAAAATGACGAGGTTTTCTCAAGTGGTTAAGCACCTTCACCATCAACTAAAATTTTCGAGTCATACAAGAAGGTAAGTGTCCCTCCTTAAAAATTAAAAAAGATATTCGATTCCCCATATTTTAATCCTTTGTCCTCGTGCGTTTGATATAGAGGAAAGTATATTTAAAAATATGTTTTTGAAATTTTCTTATGTTTGATCTATTCAATTTTTTTAAAAAAATATCTTTTAAAAAAATAAGCTCGTAAAGAAAATCTAAAAAATAACTTTTTTTTTGTGAAAATAGGAAAAAACGAGTTTTTTAAATGACATTTTATGGTGATTGTTTCCCCCACCCCTTTCCAACATCTCATTCCCAACCCCCATCCCACCAACATTATTTGGGATTTTACAAATTAAAATCCCCAAAAATAATGTAATGTTTTCAAATTAACATTTGAGAATTTTAGATTTATATTTTGCCATTGAGAAATAACACATATATCCACTCTTTGTTTTTCAGGAGCATTGATTGGGGAGGTGAACCAAATAAAAATTGTTACAATGAAACAAAAATGATAGAAGATCCAAATTATTGGGGATCAGATTGTAGAAAAGGCATAATGCAAGTGATTTCACAAGAATTTGGCAAATCAAAAATGCCAATTTCATTTCTCAATATTACACAACTCTCAAGTTATAGAAAAGAAGCACACACAACAATTTACAAGAAGCAATGGGGTAAATTAACACAAGAGCAACTAGCAAATCCATATAGCTATGCTGATTGTTTACATTGGTGTTTGCCTGGCCTTCAAGATACTTGGAATGAACTTTTATTCACAAAGCTCTTTTATCCTTAAGAAAAATTTATGGACGATCCACAGTTTGTGTTTAGCTAATCAATTTGAAAAAAGAAACATAACACTAGTGTATTTGGACATGGTCCTTTGTATATACTTATTTTTAGGCAATCGACTTTGATAAAATTAAATTGGTTTTTAAATTGTGAATGTGTGAACATATATACAACTGATCGAACCAGGTCCAAAATACACTAGTGTTGAGGAGTAAGTCCCCTTCTCCGAGGGCCGATCTACATGTATGTATGTCAGTCACAAGAATTCATCAATAGTTTTTGTTCAGACATGATATATTTAACAACATCTTTAAGAGCTTATATTAAAAGTCCTAACACTTATTTAAGGTCGCTATTATAAGAATTCATAAACTTTAACATTTGAATCTGTCTCCGTCATTTTCTAATGGCTAATTAACATTTTACCATCTGATTCATTACAATTGGAAATCATTCATGATTCAATGACTAATAGTCAAATACTTCAGCCAAGAACAATATCTAAAACTTGACAAATATAAAAAAAATTCTAAAAAATAATAATAATTAACTCGAAAAGAGAATAATAAATTAAATAGAGAAAAATACAAAGGCTTAAAAAAATCCTTTTAGAACATTGATACTAAGTATGCATTTGTAAAAAAATATGACTTCAATCGTAATTTCTTGACTATCGAGTGATAAGACATATTAATCACTCATTATCAATTTCTAAAAAAATTAATGATAAGATTATATCCTTGAACAAATTAATTAGGATAATTGCTTACCTTAAATAAATTGCAGCAATAGCACCATAATGGAAATTGATATTTAACACAAATTCAACGAACATAAAGCTAGGTATATCATTCATATAATTAAAATTGTCTATGACCTAATTTAGTAAGTTGATGATCTAGTTTAAGTACAATGAATCTTATTAAACTCTTCATTTGTAATGTGTTAATCGTGTTATAGAGGCTTCAAACATACTATGTACTTCCCAGACAGGATACTTAACGTGTCAGCTTCAACATCAGATGTAACGTAGTGATCCTCAGATAGAATATTTAACGTACACGAGTCGAAAAATAACTCTTAGAATTTTGGCTTTAAATCCTTAATAGATGGAATTGGCTCCTTCTTTGCCAATCTTTAAAAAAGTTCATTTTTATAATTATCTATTCTTATTGCTAAGTTTGGTTGTATTTTTGATAACTTACTCATCCTATCTCCTTCCATCCTCTCCATCAGTCACATCCTTGGCCAACTTGATTTGGCCAAATCCTAAATCACCAAGTAAGTTTTATCAACTCCTTTTTGTCTTCTAATTAATATTATTATCAATTATTATTATATTTGAATCGTTATTGGTCATATCGTTCTTTATCGAGAAATTTAAATATTAAAAAATCTAGACACTCTCCAACTTGATTTGATTTAAATAGAAAAAAGGAAATCTAAAGGTAGAATTTGCCCCTTATTCCAAAATTTGGTAAAGTAAAATATAACTATGTAGAAGTGACCACCTATAATATATAGTAATAGTGTTTTTAAAAAAATAAAAAAAAATGTAATACGCTATAACATGTTAAATTATACTGATAATGCATGCGTGATATCTTTTATTGTCGTTGTACATAAATTAAAATCCATTTTCTTGGAGATTCTTGATTTTGAGTTGTTTTGACTTTGTTTTTTGTTGTGTTAGAGAAGAACAAGGATGATGCATTGCCACCATTTGCAATTGGAGAAGGTGAAAAAGAATGCAATTTATTCAATGGAAAATGGATTTGGGATGAGACAACTAGGCCTTTATATAATGAATCAGAATGTCCATATTTACTTCCTCAAGTGACTTGTCAAGAACATGGTAGGCCAGATAAAGATTATCTCTATTGGAGATGGCAACCTAATGACTGTCTTATTCCCAGGTTTGTAAACTTTTTTTTTTTACGTAGTTAGGGTTTAGGGTTCAAGGTTCAGGTTCGGGTTTATGTAGTTACTGAGTTTAAGTGATGATATATACCGTCGAGGACAGCGCAGTGTACAAAGCATCTGGTGTTTATATTGTAGGGTCTAGGAAAGAAGGAAAGAGTCACCTCAAGAGGTGTAATGTAGAAAACTTAAACCTAACGTAAAGCATTAGTATTTGTTTCCACATTTCGAATTCGTGATCTAGATCACAAGCAGACAATTTTATTGTTGCTCCTACACTCCCTTCAAGTGATATACAATGCCATAATTTAAGCTTACACTTGTTCACTAATTATGACGGTTGACCAGGGCCTCTTTCCTCCTTCCTTTTCTGCTCACTCGTAGGGGTCGGGACCCCCCAGAATTTTTTTTTATATTGTCAAATTGTCTTTACCTATATACCGTCGAGGATAGCTCAATATACAAAGCATTTTGAGTTCACACGCATGGTTTGGGGGAGGGCATGCAACCAAGAAGAGTGATGTAGAAAATCTACGCTTATACAAGCATTTGGTTGCTTCCACGGCTCGAACTCGTTATCTATAGATCACACAAAAATAACTTTACTAATTGTTGTAAGACTCCCCTAGCTTCAAGTGATAAATACAACCAGTTTAAAAAATTTTATATTACTGATCAGATAACCTATTTTATTTTCAAGATTATAAATTATTATTTTCATCCAATTAGTGTAGCTTAATTTTGTTATACAAGTATTCTTTTTGAATTTACCGATTAATACTTACCATAGAAAATTAGAAATTCACACATAATTGTTCTAAAATTAAATGAGTCTCTCATTATTATTGTGAATTTAAACTATATGTTATAATAATCTTGGCAGATTTAATGCATCATTGATGCTAGAAAATCTTCGAGGGAAGAGGATGATGTTCGTTGGTGATTCTTTAAATCGAGGACAATTCAGTTCTATGATTTGCCTCCTCCATAAAATCGTACCAAACTCCGCTAAATCCCTCGATAAAGTCGATTCATTGATCATCTTTACAGTAAAGGTACGTTATATATACACTAATAGTATACATACATTTTTACATAATTAATAATTTTGCATAAAATTACTTTTTAAATAACCTGATCGCGTAAATATTTCTAACACGTGTGAATTTGACTTAAACTACACATTACATCATGTGGAAATTCTACAATATAATAACTTTGGGTTCACTACTAATTATTAATTACATTTATTTTTAACTTGGATGTATTTATATATATACCAGGATTATAATGCAACAATTGAATTCTACTGGGCACCATTTCTACTAGAATCAAATGCAGATAGTCCTTGGAAACATACGGTACCCAATCGAATCGTTCGAAAAAATTCGATCGATACACATGGAAAATATTGGAAAGGAGTCGATATTTTGGTGTTCAATACTTATATTTGGTGGATGTCTGGACGTACATTCAAGATTCTGTAACTTTTTATATACTAATATTTTATTCTTATTATTAAATTTTTTATTATTAATTATGTCTTAACACATAATTTTACGTTTTTTTTTTAGGAATGGGACATTTGATGATGATAATATGAAAGATATTGAAGATGTGCCAACTAGTGATGCTTATCGTATGGGAATGAAGAATTTATTGACATGGATAAATAAAAATATGGATCCAAAAAGAAATAGGGTTTTTTTTACAAGCATGTCACCTTCTCATGCATGGTAAGTTTATATACTAATAGACAATTCTAATATTGTGTAAAAAAAAAAAAAGACTCTAATATGAATATTGAAATCGAATAGATAAACTACAAAACCAAAGAAATTATGGTTTAACAAGAGTTAGGTGGATTGAGTTATGATCTATGAAGCCCATCTTGACACAACTCATCTCGGCCTAACTAACTTGCGGACGGATTAATAATTTGTTTGTTTATTAACTTAATTTATTTTAACTTGATTAAATTTAGTTTAACTCACCCATCTACGTTACGAGTCGAGTCTTATATATAGTGTGCGAAAATAAATATAGATAAGAGTTTGAAATATCCATTCGCACGACTTAAAATTCAGAATTTTGAGTTTATAAAGTCTTGATTCTTTTTAAATAGATTATTTCTACGTATCAAGTAAATTTCTTAACACAAACACAAAATTTGAATCAAAGCAACTTATATTTACCGAACTAACAATTTAACTATAGAACTCACCACGTCTAAATTTTGAATCTATAAATATTACTAACAATTTTTTAACTTTTTTTTTTGGATTGTTATTAGGAGCAAAGAGTGGGGAGGAGATCCAAATGGAAGTTGTTACAATGAAACAAAAATGATAGATGATCCAAATTATTGGGGATCAGATAGTAGAAAAAGCATAATGCAAGTGATTAAAGAAGAATTTAGCAAATCAAAAGTGCCAATTACATTTCTCAACATAACTCAATTGTCAATGCCAAGAAGAGATGCACATACATCAATTTACAAAGAAAGAATGGGACCTTTAAGTCCACAAGAAAAAGCAAAACCTGCTAGTTATGCTGATTGTATACATTGGTGTTTGCCTGGACTTCAAGATGTTTGGAATGAGCTTTTATATGCTAAACTTTTCTATCCTTAATTAATTAACACTTTGAGAGCATAATATATATATATATATATATAGCATTTAAATTTTCTCAAGAACTTGCCCTAATGACTATAGTAGGGGTGTGCATCGGTCGGTTCTGTTCGGTTTTACATATAATAGGTTCGGTTTATCGATTTCTGATTTTAAAATATGCTAACCCAATAACAAATCAATAAGAAATTTTTTATCAGTTTATCGGTTTTTGATGTTATCGGTTCGGTTTCGATTAACCCAATAAGAAAATGTCGATCAAATAATATATAATAGTAAGTATGTTATAATTACATGTTACCAACTTACCGCCAAAACATAATAGAAAACTTTGAATGTTGATCAAATTACTAACATTCACAAACTTACAAAAGCTATCGCTTACAATTACGAACTAGAATTAAAACTAAAATAAAATATTTCAATGAGACAATCTTGAACAGTTGCTTGATCCACCAGATAATCAACAAAGTTTTCACCAATTTTCTAACCAAAAAATCACATAGCCTGAAAAGCTAATATTGAATCTATTTATGTATTAAATTATGTATATTTAATATTGAGGAAGGGTAAAGTAGTAAATAACTATCGTCTTATTGGGTTGTCGGTTTACCCAATAACCCAATAGGAAAAACCGAAACCGACCCAATAACCCAATAATTATTTTTTCTAAACCCATTAAAAACCCAATAACCCAATAACATTTTATCGGTTCGGTTTATTGATCGGTTCAATTTTTATACACCCCTACTATATAGTATATAATTTCTTTTTGTGATTTCTAGTCGAGGAGGTCCAAATTTTTGAATTAATGTTATTATTCCAACAATAAATATATGATTTCATTTTGCTACTGGCCTCATGATAAGTGTAGTCTTGTTTGGTCAATTGGAAATTGCAGAATTGATCAAAGTGTTTTTTGAAAATTTCAAAATGGCATAAAAAGCGATCAGAAAGTGAAATTGTAAAATTAGTTCTTAGGCCTAACTCACACTCCAAAAACTAGCTCAAAGGGAGAAGGATTGCCCAAGCCTTATAAAGAATCCACCCATCTCATTAATCACCGATGTGGGACTTTTGTCATTCTTTAACAGAAATCCTTCCTTCCCATCTAAGCCGGGAAGCCGCCTTTATATCTAACTATCGTTCACCTTGATATAGACTCATCACCTTTTTAAATCGTTTCTAAATTTTAAGGAAAATAGAGAAAATTGAGGGAAATTAGGGGTAAGTTTATTTTCTACGTGGCATGAGTGGAACTCTATCGCCTTATATGGCATGTTATGTGGTATCGACATGGCATCCAAGTGGCGTTTAACATATCCTGTTAATGAAAAAGGTATTTTTGACCCTATAGTTTAAGAGAAAAGGTATATTTGAGTCGAAATATAATTGAAGGGTATATTTAAGCTATTTCAAATAATTAAATGATATTTTTGATCCTTCTCCCTTTTTTAATTAATTAGTCCAAATGATGGAATCAATGACATAAAAAGTGCTTCAATAAAAATCTCAACTATTTGACTAATACTAATGGTAATTATATATTCCAACTTGAGATATATACTGTCCGGCTATAGCATCTTTCATGAATATTTGATTTGATTAGAGATATTAAATGTAAAACAAATTAATCACCAATTAAATTAATCGATTAACTAAATGTTTAGGGGTTTTCAAATGAACAAAATGTCAGAATTTGTTTGGACATGTTGAAATCTGAAAAAATAATAATTAAAGTTGAAGCTAAAAAATAATAGTACGTGAAAATCTAAATTATGTTTAGACACAATATTTCACTTTAATAAAAATGATTGCACCTAAAAAAACTCATTTTCAAAAAACTAACCAGACAATCATTTCAATGTATAATCATATCATAAAATAAGAAGAAAAAAAATCTACGTACAATTAAATTAAAAGATAATAAGTACATTTTTCGATATTGTAAACTCTTTTTTAGTATTATTTAAGTTTAGCTCTTTCTCTCACAATATTAAATTTGGATCTATTGGTAAATCGTCTTATTAAATAATATATTTAATATAATTTTATAAATATGATTTAAAAAAAATAAAATATAGATAAATCTTATTCATACTTTAATGAGATAGACAAATTGTTTTTAATAGACGAATCATCTTAAAAATAAGTTGTGAAGCAAATTTGCAGAAAACTATGACGATAATAAGATAGCAAAATGTAAAACGAATAAAGTAACAGATATATATGAATATCTAGAGGCAAATATAATATATAAGATATAATGAAATTATAATTATATCTAGATGCTTTTTATTGACTAATAGTAGTAGGCAAACAAATTGAAATTCAATAAAAGCCTCCTTGCCCACTTGGTAACCAACTTGGAAAATATATTTTCTTCTTTTGCCGATCACAACATTTAATATAATATTTATGGGAGAAATTAAAAATAAATGAGAGGCAAGAAAACCCATAAAAGATTTATCAAAAATTAAAAATACAACTTGGCTTTGATTTAATTGCAAGTTGGTACCTTATTGTTTTGCAACTTTTGATTCTTTTATCACGATTTGAATGAATTGAATTAAACGAATCAGGATAAAACTAGTGAATTAATAAATAACTTATATTTTTATAGATTAATTTTATCATTTCGAAAATGAAATTTTGAACAAACAAGTGAATTTAATTATCTGAAAAAATAAGGTAGATAATTAGTTATAACAGCATAAATTACATTAATTATATTAAATTTTTTTATATTATAAACTAAATCCAGGAATTAGTTGTTGTGTACCCATCTCATGACCAGCAGGTTCAGTGTCCAATGACTAACAATTTATTTTTATATTTTTTTTAAAAATGCAATTAGTACTTTGTAGTATGTACAAATTATATTTAATGTCAATTTGTGAAGTTCACAACTGGTAAACCCTTTAAAATAATTAGACTATTTGGAAATAAAAATTAATATTTATGCACTATGTTTATTGAGTAAAATACATTACATTAATCTATTAGTAATACAGGTCTGCCGAACCAAGTGACTAATTAATGGATTATTTTCCTCTTTTACTTTTACTAATTTATAATTTTATATTTTGGTTTCTTTTGGATAAACAATTATTATTTTTCCAAAAAAATGAATTATGTATATAGTTATTATGCATTTTATAAAACCATCTCCATTTCTTTTATAAAAAAATGTATATTTTATATATAAGATCACACTTTATATATTTATTATGTCTATTTTTTTATATTTTAATTTTCGATAGTGAAATTCTAATTCTATTACTAGTCATATAAAAAGCTTGCACACTTAATAATTCAAATAGAAAATTCAAAATAATTATCGACATTTAAAAGTATATTTTTAACCTTTCACTCTTTAAGATTGATGAACAGTATTATTTCAGTGTGCAATATGTGCTAATCATAAAATGCATGTAATATTGCTATCACTTCGTTATTAAGAAAATTTTGATACGACAAATCTTAGGTGGATTAATATGAAAAGTGTAAGAAAATTTTGATACGACAAACCTTGTGTGGATTAATATGAAAAGCATAATTCAAAAAGTACGTATTATCAAAATTATATAAGAAAGCATGTTGCTCCTTATATATCGAGTAAATAATAACTCTAAAAAATATATCGTAAAATGGTTATATATAACAGTGTACAAACAACACAAACACTTCCAAGAATAACCACTTTAATTACACTTTCAAAATTTATCAACTTTTCACTTATCAAATCTTCATAAAATGAAAATACCAAAAAAATAAAATGAAGTCATGAAATGTACAATGACTTAATCAGTATTTAATTAATAAAAATGATCAATTTACCTAAATACTCTTACAACAACAACAATATTAATATTAATATAAAAAAATTATTTTCGATAGATACTCAGTTACTTTTAGTTTTTTCTAAATTCTCTGCGATTTGCCCTAACCATTGCAAATTGCACCGTACAATTGTATCGATGAATACACGTGTTTCCTCTTTCGTATTCCCTTGCGGAACATCCACAACGTATGATTCCACCACCACCGTTCTACCGCCGTCGCCGCCGTCATCCGCCGCTGCCCGATGAAGTGTAGTCACTGATCTATAATTATTCAGCCGGTGATCACCGCCGATAATACTAATGCTCATCACTTTTTTCTCGTCGTCTAGAATTTCGAGCCGCTCAATGCTCGAAGCCGCCGGTAGGCCGGTGATGACGTGGACCTCCCGGAGAGAACCGACGACTTTTCCGTCGCCGACGATGACGTGGCAGCTCTTGAGGAAGTTTTTATAGGCTTGCGGATTGTCGAAGCGGCGGATTATCGACCATACGGTGTCGATGGAGGCGGAGATGGAGCGGACGACGGCGGAGCAGCACTGGTTGTTGTTGGGACCCACTGGGTGGGTATGGTAATGGAAGTGGTTATCGGGGACGCAGATATTGCTAGTCGTCGTCGTCATGGGGAAGTTTCCGGCGAGTGTGGCGGCGTTATGGTGGTTGATTCGGTGGAGTTGGAGTGTTGAAGTCATCTCTATTTTGTTTGAATGGAGAGATGAGAATGGAGTGTGATATATATATATACACACACAAAATGTATACACACATTTAAATTATGAGTTTACCTGTTCATTTTTGTTTTAATTTTAATTTCAGTGACATATTTGACTGGACATATATTTTTAATTTGTTACTAATTAAGAAAGAATTTTAACAAAATATTAAAATAAATTATAGATATCAGTGTACATATTTATTTTTTTTGTCTTAATTTATTTGACATATTTTGAATTTCGAGATTTAAAGAAGTATCTTTTATTGCAAATTTTTCATATATAGTTTAAATATTTTGAATTGTCAATTATCGCGATTTATTATTTTTTACATAGTTTACAAATATATAGATTTCATTTCAAAATGCAATATTACTGGTCAAACTTAATTTATTTGATTTTTGAAAAACGAAATGTGTAAGACAGACGGAGATTTGACAGATAA